GATGTCATGACACTGTCCTGCATTATCCCCCACCCAGTCCCTTGATGTCCTGTTTACAGTCTACAGTCTTAAGTTGTCAAATTTCTCTCAACAATGTTAATAATTGATTATGTTAATAAGATGCTTTTGTAAGGTGAGGTAGTTTCTATGCAAAAGATAACAGCAAATATGTTTCAACTGATACATACGGAGGGACATTTTGCTCTCACTGACATTTTATTTGTGTTGTTAAAACTGAAGGTTTATCTCATACATAAGTAGAATAGAACAGGAATATGGGCTCTTAACACAAATAAATAGATAGATATGATATGATAAATGTTTAATTTAATGGCAAAAAGGTATCTCAGTATTTCATTACTTTTGTTCAGTAAGTTTTATTAAATAGTTAGTCCACCCAAAATGAAAATTCTGTTATTAATTGCTCACCCTAATGTAGTTTCAAACCCGTAAGACATTTAACACGTTAACACACATGAAGACATTTGAATGAAATCTGAGAAATTTCTGTCCCTCCATTGACAGTCCATGAAACTACCACTTACAAGATAGTAAAAACATATTTAAAATCATTAAAGTAATCCATGTGACTCCAGTGTTTTAACCTCAATTTTATGGAGCAACATGAGTGCTTTGCTCACACGCGGATTTCCTTTGCTCTCGCACAAAACCGGACGCGCGCGCTCAGATACACGCTGCTCTCGCCCAGAGAGAGTGCGTGCACTTACAACGTGTCTCTCCTCTCACTCAAACTGTGTCCTGTGCACTCTCAAATCTCTCTGTGCTCATGCGCTATAGATATTAATTATTTTCGCACCTGAATTAAATGTTGTCAAAAGTTATCATTATGCACTTTTAAAAAGTAGTCTCAAAAAGTGCAGGGCCTTTCCTTGATTTTTTTATTGTTGTATTATTGTTGTATTTTGATCTTTTCTGCGAATGCACATATGCATCTCTTTGTGAAGTAGGCTACTTTGTATACACTGTTTTAAAGGGTGCTATATAAATAAAGCTTTAACCAATCAGACCTCCACAACTGACCGATGAAAATACTACGTGAAATCTAATTGGCTGATTGAACTGAACCTGGAATTCTTTTGACAATCAAAGATGGATCTTTAATTTCTTTCCAGTTTAATAATATTTAGCAATCTTAATGAAATGTAGCCTATAGAAATGGCTAGGAATTGGGTGCTTGGATGATTTGTACATATAGCCTTTGTCCAACTCGTTGGTCTCTGAGCAGTTTATCTAAAAACAACATATTATAGCCTATGGCTCTAAAGACTTCATATAAAACATCAATGTTATGTCAAACAACTCCTCAAATCAACATCAAATGCAAAAATAGATGTAAATGATGCAAGATATAATACAATAAATGCTCTAATAGCATCGCTGTTTAGACATTTATTGGGAGTTTTTTTTTTAAATCCAGTGTTTGTTTTCAGTTCTGATTTTTTTTTCTCATGAAAATCCACTTAATATTAGCTACACATTCAATGGCACTCTCTTCTAAAACAGTGACTATACAGTTATATGACTGTTACATGTAATTACATTGTCTGCAAATTCATTAAACCCATAGAATAGAATGTAGTAATGTTATGGCAAATATGAAGAGTCACATGGATTACTTTAATGATGTCTTTCCTACCGTTCTGGACCTTGAAAGTGATAGTTGTGTAGGCTGTCAATAGAGGGACAAAATCTCTAAATTTCATTAAAATATCTTTATTTGTGTTCTGAAGATGAATGATGGTCTTACAGGTGTGGAATGACATGAGCATGAGTGCATGACAGCATTTTAATTTTTGGGTGAACTAACCATTTAAAGATGTTCTTATTTTGTAAGTATAGTTATTGTGTTGTGGACTGAATCGTTACAGAATACACGACCCAGAACAAAATGAACCCAGCAGTTGTTCGCCTTCTGAGCCTTCGTCAGGGAAGTCAGACCATACGCCGATTTCACGCAGCCGCCATATTGAAATCGAAAGCGAGGCTCCGGTGGGAAGAAACCCGGAAGTAAAGGTAAACAACAATGGCTTGGACTACCAACCTTGAGCTGCTACCGCGATTTAATATTTTAGATGTCGAAAAATGGGCCGAGGAAGGATGTCGAATCCCACGAGCTGTTTTGTTAAAGGGATACAGCAACTGGATCGAGGGCTACGGCACCGATATTGAAGGTAGGATTAACGTTATATCACATCACATGAAACCAAACAAGCTAGCAAGATAGCTCTGCCTTACCGGTTGAAACGCATTCTGTTTGTCCATGTTAATTTCGTTCTTCGTTTTTAGATCAACAGGACATTTTATGTTATAATCATTTATGTTATGCATTTCGAATATTTTTCCAATGTTTGCAGTCAGGAAAAGTGAGGCAGGCTGTGTTGTGAGGGCAAGGGCATTTCGCTCAATGCGAAAAAATGATACCCCTTATATGGTGCAGGTAACGTGTACGAGTAGACAGTGAGTTCAAGTTCAGACGTTCAGGCGCTAGTTCAAGTGCCAAAGTTCTTTCTTTTCTTTTTTTACTGAATTCATCACCTTATTTTCAGTGACACTGGTTGTAGGACAACCTGACAGTTTGACATACCTTAATTATAATAGTAGCAATAATAATTTTATAAATTAATCAGAGTTTTTGTGACAAAGACATTTATAATGTTACAAAACATTTCCATTTCAAATAAATACTGCCCATTGAACTTTCTGTTTATAAAAGACAGTATCAAAGTTTCCACAAAAAATATTAAGCAAAAAAATAAATAAAACTGTTTTAGCATTGATAATTAGAACAAGAAGAACACAAACCATTATTATTAATTGGGCACCATCAATAACTGATAATAAATTAACACCAAATCGGCATATTAGGATGATTACTGAAGGATCATGTGACACTGAAGACAGGAGTATTGATGCTGAAAATTGTATGTACATGTACATCCAACATTTAGCATCATCAGTTCAACACAAATACAATCACTATACAGATGCCAACCATGTTGTTTCCTACAACCAGCAAACCTCTCCATTTTTGGGGGGAAATGTTCAAATGTTCCTTGACTTCCCACAACATGCTGGACATTAATATTGTTATTATTTGAAATAAATATTGACTTACCCCTTTTGTTTCTTAATTTCCAGGTGGAATTTCCATCGGAAGTTTCCTTCATCATTGGCCTGTCAAAGTGCAACTGCAAAGCTGGCCTAGGTCACTGCAATCATCAGATTGGGTTACTGTATACCCTGGCACACTATATCAAACTGGGATATAAGTCCATTCCACCTACTGTTAGTAAAACCTCCCTACCACAGACATGGCACGTTCCTTCACATTCTATGGGTCTAGCCCCTAAACCTATTAATACAGTAAAAATATCAAAATTAAAGCCCCCAACAGCTGATCCACCACAAACATCCTATAAAAGATCTCGTCATGGAATCATACCCAACATCTACTGTCCTATTCCAATCCCTTTACCAAGTGATCAGTTTGCTAATGACCTTTGTGAAAACCTTGCTAAAATTGGAAGCAATAGCCAAATATACAAACTGCTGCTGGCATCAAGGAAATACCCAGTGGACAAAGTTGAATCGGAATTTGGACTTCTGCCCCATGGATCAGCTTTGACGTACCAAGCCGTTGGCTTACCCACCACAACCACTGATCACTATCCACCTTTTCCTCTGCCACCACAACCGTGCACTTACTCAACAGTTCAAAATGAGAAGGAGAGTACTTTCTATAGAGGTATGACTGTTACACCCTCTGATGCTGAGGCACTAGAGAAAGAAACCAGGGTACAGAGTGACAGTAAGATATAGCACCGTGTTCGTTCCCAGCGTCTGACTTCATCCACTTTTAAAAGAATAGTCTCACGAGTTGCAGACTTCAGCACGCTTGCCACAAGTATGCAGAAGCAGAAAAGGTCAGTGCAGACACAAGCCATGAAGAGAGGCCTGGAACTGGAGCCAGATGCAGCTGCACAATATGAGCAGGAAACCGGCAATCGTGTTTTCCCTTGTGGCTTTGTCATAAATCCTCATGCCCCCCATTTATGCGCATCTCCTGATCGAAAGGTGGTTGACAGTTCTGGTGCTCTGGGGTTGCTTGAAATCAAGTGCCCTGATGTAAACAGTTTACTAGAGTGCAAATACCTTTCTGTAAAAGAAGATAGTGTGCTTGCTCTGAAAACCAGCCATGAATATCATTATCAGATGACGGGACAAATGGGAATCACAGGGATGACCTGGTGTGACTTTTTTGTCAAATCCAGAAATGACTTCCATCTAGAGCGCATTGACTTTGATGAAGAGAAGTGGGAGTCTGTAAAAACTAAATTAGACTCGTTTTTCTTCAACTACTGGCTGCCCAACCTGTGCTTATAAATCAACCTGTGCTTAGTGAGTAACACACACACACACACACACACACACACACACACACACACTAACTCGCACACAAACACACTTAACAATCAATGCACACATTCGATAATTAAGTAAATATATGTACAGTTGTAGAACAACTAATTTCTACATTAAAACAAATAACAATGTAAAAATATTGTCATTGCTATTTATAATAGATTTTCACTGTATTGTATACATAAGTACTAAATAAATATTTGTATAGTTTTAGAACTCATTTCTAGATTAAAACCAATGAAAGCTAATGGGTACAAAATATATATATTTTTATTTCAGTAATTCAATCCATGTAATTTGTACAGTAGAAAGACAAATATACAAACAATAAACCAAAGTAGCAACATTTAAATGACTCCTCATTTATGTACATTTTGTTTTTTTTAACTGTAAGCTAAAATGTAGGTCTGGGGAGTAAATTAATAGTTTACCAAAAAAAAGAAAATTGTTGAAAATGTACTTACTCTCAGGCCACCAAAGATACTGAGCAAATGGTGTAATGCTAAATTCCTCCAAATCTGTTCCAATGAAGAAACAAATTCACCTACATCATGGATGGCCTGAGGGGGAGTACATTTTCAGCAGATTTTCATTTTTGAGTGAACTATTTATTTAAAATAGAGGTCCTTGGAAATTTGTCAATAGAGCACAAACAGTCCACATCTGGTTGACTGAACCACAGAGTGAAAGGGGTATGACACCATCAAAAATGTGATATTCCTTGATGTGTCTGATGGCCCTCTCCACATGTATCCTCAAGCGGGCAATCTCTTGGGTATGTGTAATTTCATATTTACTGAATTGTCTGCTTGGCCCTGTAAAAGCTGGGGTTACAAGACTGACATTGATGTCAGCAAGGAGGTCTTTGATAAGAAAGCCCTTATCAGCCATTACTTCATCACCTGGCTCAAGCAGTTTCAGAATGCCTGACTCTTTGGTGATTTCCTTGTCAGAGATGGAGCCTGTGTATAGGTTGCTTACAAAGCTAACTGTCCCAAAGGGTGTGATGCCAATCAGGGATTTCAAAGTTGTGGTTCCCTTGTAATGAGAGTATGTCATGGTGTTCAGAACTTTCGAACTTGCTGCTTGAATATGGATCTCAGTACAATCTAGCACAACACGTGTTTTTGGAAAGGTCTTCTTGAAGCAGGGTGGCATTAGCTCATCTACAGCCTCTCTACTTGGCCATACTGGTAGTGTACCAAGCATGAAATACAGGTAGTTAGCCCAAGTTATACATATCCTGCTGACTGTGGCCTTTGAGATATTAAACCTTACTGCTAAATCTGCGGAAAGAAGCCCCTGCCTCATACGGCAGAGAAACAAGAAAAACTGGTCAAAGAGGCCAACGTCTTGAGCCTGAAAGCCAGCAGTTACAGTCTGTTCTGTTTTATTAAGTCTTTGCATTTGAGTCCATCTCACCAGAGACTGTGCTGTAGGTTGAAGAGACTGGTAGAGTGCTTTGAGGGTTTCATAATCTTTACATCTGGTGTAAAACATGATCAGCTTGGGCTCACATTGGAATCTTTGTAGACAAAACTGCTGACTTCTTAAATTTTCATTTTCTTTTGTCAGACGAGCAATCTCCTTTTGTGCTGCATTCAGCTGCTCTTCAGTGGAAGGAGATGTTTCCAGGTAATCATGGTCTTGCAGTGTCACAAAACAAATGTTAGATCTGTTTTAGGATAGAAGAGACAAAGAAAAAAATTATGAAGACCAAAAATAAGTATGAAGGTTGTCAATGTGTAGGTTTACACAAATTTTCATCAATCTGATTTCAGATTCTGAAAGTTGTTTATATGAACCCTAAATTTTGTATCTGGTTCATAGAGATCTTATAAAAGGGCTCTAGTAAACATTCATCCCAGCACTGTGCATGTGTGCAAGGTATTTGAGCTATCAATCCCATTACTAACAGATTATTTGGGTGTATGTAAATGTAGCAATTGAGTCATTATGCAGCAACTATCATGCCTATATAAGACATCTTTCACTCTGTTGGCATTAGATAGATGACTTACTGTTCTCCTGTGTTCTGATCAGAAAATGAATGGTCCTCCTCTTCATCCTCCTCAAATGTTTCAATATCATTAACACTGGGTAGGAAAATCACAATTAATAGTTACTTTTGTTCATATTGTACTGTTATGCACGATTGTCACAGACGTACATTTTAAAATTCTGAATTTTTGTAATATCTATCAAATTTGCCGCCAATTGATGAAGATCTGACACTTCCAACAGTTTTATATGTCTGAATAAACAGCATTCTGTCAATACTGTAAATTATACTATACAAATTGTGCAACTGTAAGAATTGACAACAAAGTTAATTCATATCACTTTGGTTAGGTTATACAACATGACAAATTACATCAGGTAATATAAAACATTACAGTACTATCATATTTTTTATTCAGCAAGGTTAAATTCAATTTAAAAAGACAATCCTAATATCATAAAACAAGTGAACGGCACGCACCGCTGATGTCGCTCAAGTGTCCTCCTGGGCTTCAGTTCACAGCTCCACGTAAACAAAGCTTGTACGCTTCCATGTTTCAGTCTATGTAAACCAGTGAGCGATCGTACAATGCAGTCCGGGGTAAAATGTTTGGAGCATACTCTAGTGTTGTCTGTAACCTTATGGGAGAATCAGTTCATTAACATGCGTTTGATAACGGAGTAAAACGTGTAGCTTGGAGAGCTAGCGCTAGCTAGATTAATAAAGGTGTTTCGCTTACCTGAAAATAAGGTCCAACATCTCTTCTTATTTTCACAATCCATTCACAGCAGACTTTTGGGTCACTCGGAAAGCGATGAAATGACAACTCTTTATCGCACTCTTTCCGTTGATAGGATGTACAGCCTGGTACACAGCAATACGACATCGCTACTCCTGTGATTCAAGGCAATACTTCCGGGTTTCTTCCCACCGGAGCCTCGCTTTCGATTTCAATATAGCGGCTGCGTGAAATCGGCGTATAGAGGACTATGTGGAGGACTTTTGTGGTTTGTGCTATTTAGTGGACTGTAATGATGTGGCGTTAAAGGACATTTTTCGTCATGGATTAAACGAGCCCATTTGCTCCCAGCTTCCTGGGGGAAAGGTTCACTGGTCCCTTGCCGAGTATATAGACTTTGCTCTGCGGTTGAGTGGATCTGCTTTCACTGTGGGTGTCATGGAGAAGGAAAACGGCACTAAACCAGAACCAGAGTGTGCTCACGTCACGTCTGCCAAGCCATAGTCTGCTCACGTCACATCTGCTACACCAAGCCATTTTGAGCGTGTGGGCTGCACACTGCGCTCCAGAGTCCTCTCCTGTCCACGAGTCTGCTCCTGAGGCCTCTCCTGTCTGTGAGTCTGTCCTGTCACAGCCATGGAGGTCGTTCTTGAACTCACTGTCTGTCCTGTCATGGCCATGGAGGCCGTTCATGCTTGCTCTGTCACAGTCAAGTGGTCTGTCCATGTCTCTGCTCCACCATGGCTTCCTGCTCTGCTGTCATCACCCGGTCACCCTGCTCTGCCTGCTCCACCATGGCTCCCTGCTCTGCCTGCACCGCCATGGATGCCTGTTCTGTCTGCTCCACCATCACTCCCCGCTCTGCCCGCACCGCCATGGCTCCCCGATCTGCCCGCTCCGCCATGGCCGCCCGATCTGCCTGCTTCGCCATGGCCCCCACTCTGCCTGCTTCGCCATGGCCCCCCGCTCTGCCTGCTCCGCCATGGCTCCCTGCTCTGCCTGTTCCTCTTCACGGGCCTGGCCCTCCATCCCTCCCCGAGTTCCACCTCCACTCCACCACCCTCCTGGACGTTTTGGGTTTTGTTTGGGCGTCTGGAGCCACCCTTAGAGAGGGGGGGATATGTAATGTGGTGTTTGGGTTTTGTTTCATGTTCATGTTTTCATATCTTTTATTTTGTAATTGTTTCATGCTCTCAGTGTCATGCTTCCCTTGCCCTCATGTATCTCTGCCTTGTGCATGTGTCATGTTCTGATTGGTTGTCCTAGTCATGTGTCTTGTTTCCTATTGGTTTGTTCTTGTCATGTGACCCTCTTGTTTGCTATAAGTAGCCATCATGTTGCCATTGTTTCTCGTTCGTGTAATGATGTTGTAACCCGCTGTCGGTGAGTCTAGTCTGTTCATGTCAAGTCTAGTCTGTTCATGTCAAGTCAAGTCTGTTCATGTCAAGTCAAGTCAAGTCAAGTCTGTTCATGTCAAGTCAAGTC